CTATAAAAGTAATTTTAAACGTACAGTCGTATAAATAAATATTGGTGAATTGAATCACAATGAAAAATAAATATTATGATTTAATTGAGTTTACGATAATATAATTAAATTGATTGAAAATTCAGCTGTTTTTTGCAAAAGATTCATCATTTAATACTCTACAGCATGGTATATAGAAGATGATTCTAAGACTCGAGGTGCCGTTTTGTTTGAACAACAAATGATGTACCCCAACAAATTCAAAAGTTCAACTTGAAAAAGTGTATCTCGTCGTTATAGGCTTGAGTGTATACGTTGTGCCCACATCGAATTGACCAAAATGTAGCCCTTGAAAGAAGTCTCTATTGAATGGCTATAATGGGAATTTTCTGTCATCATTTCCCTTTTTTCTTCAATAATGCTTTTTGCAAAACCCATGTGACTATTTTTTCAGAGCATTTCGAAGGGATTTTTCAAGGGGATTTCGAGATTCTCATGCTGGTGTGTAAAATTTAAACGACTTTTTATCTTAAAATCCTGAAAATTTGACCTTAGAAATACTAACAAAACTTTTCAAAAATTTGAAAATGTTTTTCAAATAACGGGACTTCTATTACATTTTTCACATTGGCCCCTCAAGGGGGGCTTCTATTACGGGATGGGGGGTATATCAAATTGACCACATATTATTAAAAATTCACATATATTTTTACGACAAACCAATGCATCCAGAAATCTGTTTTTATGCATTCTAATGCAGTTTTTGATACCCTTCCGAATGATCCTACTTTTATTACAATCGACGAGTCGTACTTGAAAACTTGAAATTTGTACTCCCATTCAAATGACTAATATATAAAGTGTCACGACGATCAGACACTATTATTATACGAATAAATCTAGAAGAGGTGCTTTATGAGCATATGATGTCTATAAAAGAGGTAGTCTTGAAAGAAAACAAGAATCAAGTTACATCTACATAAGTCGTCTTGCACATTGTTTGATTTAAAAGTCTAGTGACATGTTATTGTCAACAAAGTTTATTGCACGTTCTTTTTGGAAAAATATAAAGCAGAAAATATGGTAAATTAACAATAATGAGTATCAGGCATTGCACCTGTTTTCCTATTATAATTTGTGACTAATGTTCAATAATATAATTTTATTTTTATTCAGATTTACTATGTTCCTCTGTGATTGTTTAGCTCATTGTTGATTATTTTCATCTTGTTACTTCTCATTTCAATTTAGATTCGATTATTATTTTCATTTGTTCTCAACCAATCTTGTGTCAAATCTTAAAATTCCAATCATGTCATTATATCTAACCTTGTGTAATTGTTCTAAATTCAATAATTATACTATCGGTGAAAGCTGTAACAATCCTCTAGTTTCATTTAAGGGTACTCCTCTCTTTTTTTGAAAAACTTTCGGATTTTCAGCTGAGCGTAGACTAATGTAGAGGAAAGTGTGGGCTACAAAATGAGACCACTCCCAACACTCCAAGGTCTTCAAAAGGTTATGCATTTCTGAAGTTTTTCCTTCAAAGCCTGAAAAACCTCAAATTTTTAGTAAACTTTTCTCTCCTTTTCTGTACATTCAAAATTTTTCTTACACATACTCAAAAGAAGAAAGTATTTTCTTCACAATGAGACGTTTTCCAGAATTTTCCAATGAGTTTTCGTGGAGATATAAGCATTGCGGCAAATGCCCTGAAAAAACTGTGTACAAAATGCGTTTTTTCTCGAAAACTATTTTTTTTGCTACCGGGTTTCATTGGATCGCATTACGACTCCACTTAAATTTCATCCGATCGAGTTAAAAATTTGATCAGAGGTACTCAAGACACTATTGCAGAGATAGTTTTTTGGAATTTTATTTTAGACTTTTCTTTACCGAGTTATAGGGTTTCTAAAATTGAAAAGTCCGGTTTTTGAGATGTTTTTCAGTATTTTTCCTATAAATCGACCAGGAAAGATCTTAAAAATTTTTTCCACAATATACACCTGCAACATGAGCTTGAGTAACTCTGGTAGAATTTTTAACTCGAACGGATGAAGCTTAAGGGAGGAGGGTCGTAATGTGGTCCAATGAGAAACCGAGTTTTCTGGAAAACTGTTGAACAACAATAGTTAAAAACTTGAAACAAAAACGAAAAAATGCTCCATTGAGTTTTTAATCAGTTCTGAAAATAAGAAGCCTTAGTGAGTTTTAGTTTTTATTTCACAGCATTTCTACGGAAAGCTCAAAAAGAGGGGAGGGGTACCCTTAATTGTCCTGTTTGAATATGCAAATATTTTCGTAATCTATGAGCTCAAAAGAAGATAAAAAAAATTGAAAAGTTAATTAAATATTTTATATGCAACAACCGATTCGATATCTCGTAATTATTTAGCATCTATCGATGCAATGAATTTTTCAATGCGCAGTTCAGTTTCAACATAATGCAATCAATTTAATTATATTATCGTAAACTCAATTAAATCATAATATTTATTTTTCATTGTGATTCAATTCACCAATATTTATTTATACGACTGTACGTTTAAAATTACTTTTATAGATTTTGCTTATCAATACTATCATGAAAATACTGACGTGAGATAACCGAAACTGAGTCTATTCATCTGTAAAAAATCATTTCGAAATTACAGATCTACCATGGCGTACTACAATCAATAAAATCATAGAAATTGTGGTTTTTAAAAATCTCATTAGTGTTTTCTCTCTAAAGACATGTTTAAACTACAGCGACAACCGCTCAACAAATCGACGTAAGTTTGAGACATTCATATTGCCACTGTTCAAATGTACTGAGACTTTTCTGAGGTGTTCGTGCTCGTGAAATCTAACAATGTCAAAAGCAAGGGGAGCATCGATTATTGTCTATACTTGGTCTCGTGTCAATTTTCTGTTTTTATCGAAAACCTAGTGAAAATCTACATTGAGTGATATAACCTGTTCTAGACTATTTTTATTCATATTCATAATTAAAAATTTCATAACTCATTGAAAATCAGTTCAAAGTACTGCAAGAGTTCAAAATGTACTATATTCCAACTGCTTTACAGCATGCCTCAAAGTACGGACAACTTTATATCTATACTTCCGAAGTATATATATAGATTCTCAAAAAAGAATGTCAAAATCAAGAAGTTTTTGAATTTACTGTAATTCGAGATATATCAACGCGTAAATCAGCTAAAATAAAATATATGTTGAAGTGTTTTGAACCGACTTTAAGTGGGTTATTTTTATATAGTTTTACGAATAATTTTTCAGTAATAATTTTATAATTTTTTCAGGTTTTCATGGAACAGTCTAGAACGGGTTATTTCACTCAATGTAGGTTTTCAAAACAAGCAGAACATACTTGACACGAGTCCAAGTATAGACAATAATCTATACTTGCCTTGTTTTTCATTATTAGATTTCAAGAGCACGAACACCTCAGAAACGTTTCAGTTCATCCGAACAGTGACAATATGGATGGCTCGGACTTACGTCGGTTTGTTGAGCAATTGTTGCTGTAATCAGGGTTTTCGATTGTTCTCGATTAGAATGAGAAGATTTTTCTAGCAGACAAACTTCTGAAAAAGTCGACGGATAGTTTTTTTAAGCAAGTGAACCACACTTTTCACTTCTCATCAGATTTTATTTTTTCAACGAAACACGTCACGGTATGCTTGCCTTCTCACTTGCTTCTACACTTTTCTTACTATATTTTCGTCTCTCACTCTCACGATGTTCTCATCCCAGTTGGGATCAATTCAATTGTGGAATTTAAATTTAAAGAATTGTCTGCCAGTTATTTTGACAGGTAGATTAGTAGTTGTTGAATGTCCTAAACTAACTACGGACAATAGGTGTCAGTCGCCTACAGTCTGTCAGATTAAATACGTGCAAGATAATTGCGATATTTGTTATGGTCACAAAAAAGGTCTATCAGGTCGTCATTTACTTATTCATAATGATCAGAAAGTGATTCCAAATAATGTTTTAACTTCGATTCACTTTCTTATTTATATATAAAAATAGAAAACGAACAAAACAACTGAGTAGGAAAAAGAAATTGATTTGGACAGAGTAAAGAAATAAATCAAAGAGCGAGAATTTTCTGTGTAAACATATCACCGGAAATTTCTTTTATATAAAAAAAAATAGAACCTAGCCTCATTTGTATAGTCTGTACAGAAAACAACAAACAAAATAGCATAGACTGTTCAAATAAAACACAAAATAGGTGTAAAAGAAAATATTACACGAGATAGACAAAAAAAAAACAAATAAGCACAATTAAGCTGGACGAATACAAATAAATTTGGACAAAAAAACAACGCAGCATTTTATTTATGCTTCTAATGTATTTCTTGAATGTTGAGCAATATTTTCCTATAAAAAATGTATTGAGTAAAGTAGAAAATGAAAATATCATTCGGAACTGCAATCAAGACATTTTTTGACCTTACGATCAATTATTTATAATATCACTTTTTGTCTTCTTTTTTAATGTTAATAACTTATGAAAATAAACTGATTCATCGTTGTCTTCCAAATTGCTTCTGTCATCATTATGATCTGATCTTTGTTCAAGATGTTTTTTAATTACATTAGATAGTGATTTCATGACTGTATCGTTACTTTTCTTATCATATTGATCAATAGTCGGCGTTTCTAAAGCACCAGAATCAAAATAAACAATTTATTAGATTATTGTCTACAATCCTTACATCAATACTTACTTAGATCATCATCAACAAGATCGGCCTTATTCGTTGTTATTGGAGTAATGGAATTAATCGAAGATGAATAATTTTCGATACTATTAGAATGCAATGTTCGCTCAGATATTGTCGAGGTAGGAACACTAGTCGTCGTTGATGTTGACATTGTTGGTATCTCAACTGAAAAGAAAAACAAAAAAATTCTACACCTTCATCTCTTCCAATAAAATTAATATTTAAATTACGATTAGCGTTTATTGTTGGTTTTGTTATCGAACTTTGTCTTAATATGTCGCCATTGACAACTGATGGTTTCGAATGAACTTCTAAAACGTAGAAGAGTGACTATATGAAACCGTACGATTTTTCTTGACTGGTCAAAGGATATATTGGAAAATGATTTGTGGAATCGATGCACTGAAATTAGCGAACGAAATGCCGACTCTTTGTTATATAAACTGTGGTACTTAAATCTTTTTCTTCTTTAGACATTATTATTACAGTTGACAAACACTAGTTTTAGTTTAGTAGAGTAAACGACTGAAATGTTGTATAATGCCAGTCTTTGATAAGATTATTCAGTATTAAGAAACATTCATTTTTATCTATACCTTGTGTACATTTACAATTGTTCAGTTTCTTTCGGATATCATCAATATCATTTTGAAATATTTCAATCATTGTTGATGTCTCAAAAAAAACAAGAAACAAGATTAAATAAATAAAATTGAAAGAAATTATTTTCACAAAATACTTTTAATGATGAATTTTGTACAAGACTATTTAATTCTTCGAAAGAAACTGTCAACCGAGACATCAATTGTTCCCTAAATGATGATGTTTGATTCAATGAATGAATTTCGGTCTAAAATAAAACAAATAGAGTCATCCTAACGATGAAGAACAATGTAGTAAGTGTTAAAACTAAAACTAAATCTATTCATGAATGAAATGATGTTTGTATGTATATAGGATGGGTCAGAAGTTCTGAAGTACGTTTCGATTAAATTTTTATCCATATTGACTTAAAAATTGCGTGTAAAAATTTAATATTTAGCTCAAAAGACAAAGACTTTAATTCTCTAAAAAATAGCCGATTATTTATTTTGAAATTCTTTTTCAACAGAATATTGATGATATTAAAATATTCTAATTTTGTGAACGACACAGAATAAACTTAACTTCTTTTGCGAAGCGTTGTTGATCTCTCAACTCAACTTTCAGATAATTATTTTAACATCAAAAGATGTAGAATTTTACGTTATACAATCTGACACCATTTGTATCAGAAATTCTTTTTTACGAGAAAGAAAGTCCTAAATTGACTGACTTTCATACAAAATCCATACTATCGGTATTTTATTCTCAAACTCAAAATTCAATGTCATGAACATGTCATTTTACAAGATCACATACATCAGAAAATAAAATAATAAATTTAATTTTAAAAGTATAAAATAATTTTAGATGCTATTAAAGACGGATCCTCGTAGACTCCTAAAAAACAAACTTTCATGAAAAACCCTTTCCACAGTCATCTTGACTTAGAAGGATTTTGTTTTACCACATGAAGTATAGGACTTTATATAGAATTTCGCGCTGATATTAACGGTGTATTGTATTTTGATAAATAAATATTTTTTAGTTAGATACCCTAAGACGAACACCAATTAGATGGTGATCAGTTTTTATAACTGATCATTTTAGTATTTTTATTTCTACATCGAAGATTCAAAAATCGGCAGTTTTCTACAGAATTAAATTCTCTCTCGTTTGAGCTGAATATTAAATTTTTAAACGCAAATCAATAAAGAATAATAAAAAAATTTAATGGAAAAGTGCTTCAGAACTTCTGATCCATCTCAGATGTGCGTAGGTGAAGACCAGTGATACAAACGCTATTCAGATAGTATATTTCTAATACCGAGCAAGAGATTATTATAAGTATTTTTCTTACAAATACGTTTTATCGAGCTATTGTGAGAAAAAATTCTGAGTAGAAATATTTCTATGAATTCTAATCTTAGATCGATTTAATAGAAAAGATTAAACGTGTACAAAACACAATAATAAAAATATTCTTACTTTGAGATAATTTATTTCATTTTTCCATAAGGATGTTGTTGATTGCAATGTTTCATTAAATGATCCAATAGTTAGTAATAGTTGAATGATATCCTTTGAAAAGATGTAACTTTAAGTATTCAGAAAAAAGAAGAGTGTTCATTTTCATATACCTGTTGAAGATTCTTGCTCTTATCTTGTTCGAGTAACTGTTCAATCATTTCTTTATCAAACTGTTTCGATAATTTCTCATTATCATAAATCATATTGGCCGTTTGAGATTTACTTGCTTTTTCTAATATCTGTAAATAAAATATGTTGACAAACTAATGTTTATTTCTATTTCATTACTTTTACTCTCTTCTTTTCTCATTTCTCTCTTAAAACTATTTTAATCAAAAAAATACTGTATTTGAATGAAAACAATGTGTCATACCTCAAGTTCATCGGATACTTCTTTCAATTTTGAAGATTTTTGCTCAATTACGTTTAATTTTTCCGATAGTTCAGCGTCAGTCGATGATGTCTACAAGAAAAAAGCAACAGAAAATGAGTCGTACAGAAAATAATAAACCGTTAATTATTTAAATAAAATATTTTCTACTTCTACATCTTGAACATCATCGCTATTCAATTTCGATACACGAGATGCCATACGAGTGAAATCTGCATGTAGTTTAGTCAACTAAAATAAACAATGACAATGCATTAACAAGGAAAAAATATGTCGTTCAATGATAGGAAAAAACATGATTGTTTGCTGAGATACAGAATAGCGTACCTGATTATAAAAAAATGTTCCATTCCATTTTTCAACGATCATTAAACGAGTTTTAATCGAATCAAGGGTTGTTAATAAACGATTGAATTCAAATGATGATAAACGTTTTTCAACTAGAGAAAATAAAATATTAACATGTAAAAAGATGAAAATTTTTCTTTAATCCAAGTTTGAGTTCACTAAGTCGCTCACTTTAACTATTATCATAAATGTTGATCAAACATTCTATACCTGAGGATATGATACTCATATAAATAATCGAAAATGAGATAGTAGTTGTAGTTTCATTAACAAAAAAGAGGGTATCATATATCTTCCAGTTAGTAGGGAACACGTTTTCTTAAGGTGAAGGGTTATAGAGATTTTTAGAAAAGGTTTCTGAAAATCTTGAAAAGCTGACTTTTGGATTAAAAAGCAAATCGACAATTACTTTTAGTAACATCAGTAAATTAGAGGTGGGACAGTTCCAGTTCACTTCTTTTGAACGGAAACTGGTACCAGTTCGCGTTCAGCAAGAACTGAACTGGTAATCCGTTCTTTTCAAAAATTAAAAATAAAGTAAAATCGATGAGCCTAGTTACATTGACTTTGTCTAGTGCGCCAGAGGTAGATGGTGCGTTTAGTTGACTAAACCAAGTCAATATAACCAGCTATATCGATTTTATTTTACTTTGAATTCTCGAAAAGAACTAGTAACCAGTTCCCGTTCTTTTGAAAAGAACTGGTAGCAGTTCGCGTTCCTTTCAAAAGAACTGGTAAGCAGTTTGTGTTTTATTGCAAAGAACTGGTAACCAGTTTCCATTCAACAGGAACTAAACAGTTCTTTCGATTAGTTCTTAAGAACTATAGGAACTGGAACTGTCTCACCCCTACAGGAAATAGAGCAAAAGTTTCCGATCAAAATGAGATATCTCCCACAGCTGAATGATGTTCTAATCAAGAGTTTTGCTGGCAGCTCTAAAACTTCCATCAGATACTGGCACCAGCATATCTCGAAAGCGACTTTCACCTTAACATCACTTCGAACCTCCAAGGTTTCTCGGTAACGAAACATCGCAGAGGGCTCGGGAAGGTCTTAAATTGAAGCTGACACATGTGGCTAGAGGCTAATAGAGACCGATTTTTGATATTCGATCTAGATTTGTGATTAGAAAAATATTTTTACCAAAGTTAATGAGACTCTTTCGAATTTTGGACTTTTGACGCTGTCCATTAATTTCAAAAGAAAAATATCAAAAAGTCGGCTCTATTGGCCTCTAGCCACATGTGTTTTCGTCAATTTAAGACCAGTCTGAGCACTCCACAACGTTTGGTTACTGAGGAATCTTGGAGCTACGAACAGCCCCATTTTAGCCACTGTTGTGGCGGCATCTTACAAACCATGCACGATGGAGCTAAACAAAACATTGCGTCAGCATACTTTCACAAGATCAGCATCTCCTAAAAGTTTGGTTAAGCTCGGACTTATAGTTTCAGAGATAGGTTTCTGACGGGTGTGTGTGTGCTTATACACAAGTGTATTTTAATAGTTCATACACGAAAACAACAACAATTCATACTGTCAGTTATTCTTAACGATAAATTTTGCACTTCGTGTTTCAATTCAACATTTGCATAGGCAAGACCAGCACTAAAATAAAAGAAAAATGATTAAAATACTTTGATGATATGCGTATAATTAGATTTCAAAAATGTTGATTACCATACAATCATAAATATGCAAAGAAGACAAAACGAGAGGACATGACGAAAATAATTACAACATCGGCGATAATGTGATGTACGACTGAAAAAAATGAAAAGAGAAGAAATTTAATATATGAATTGTTCATGAATTCTAGGATAAGTATATTCTTTTCAGCGCAAATATGGATAATATTAATTTTAACCTAGCGAGATAAGCTATGAGTGTATGAGAAATAAAGAATAAAAGCATACAGTTTAGTTCCGTTTCTTGAATGTGGCAGAAATAATTCATCTTCTGAACTTGTTAATAGATCATCGTTTTTCGTTGATCCGCTACTTTTCTTTCGTGGTCGAAATTTCAATAATGCATCCAGTTGACGTCGTTTTTTCATTTTTTTTGCTGGACGTAACAGTCCTGATTTTAGTTGACCGGTTTCCAGATCATCTACTAGATCACCCATAGTCGATGATAATAAAAAAATGAAATTTCTGAGACAAATTAAAAACGCTTTTGCTTAAATCTTTTAATTGGTAATAATAATGGAAAAATATGCTCTTTTCTTACTGTTTTCAAGAGACAATAGCGAATAACATGAAGAATCGATAAATAAGAAAAACATCCACTTCAGCAGTGGCATCTAAAGTAAAAAGTACAATCATTAATATTTAATTTGGCTTATTAAGCAGAACATAATTACTGTATTTTCTGCTAGAAAAAGAGCATTTATAATTCATCCTGAGAGGTAAGATATCGAGTCAAGAGTTGCAATCCATTCATTTCGTGTTATCGCTGTCCTGATATGTTGCAGAATTCAGATTTTTGTTCTACTTAAATTAAAAAAAAGCTTTTTTTACGCACTGACAATACGTTGACTTAAAACCGCAATTATTGTTCCGCGAAATAAGCCATCTCCTTGTGATATTCACTGATCTGGAAGCTCCGATGTTTTCAAAGTGTAGAATAAGAAAATAGGAACAAAGTGCCTTCGTTATTTACTATTAATCTGAGCCCATTCATTTTCATTAATGTTTGTTTATCTCACATGTCATGATTAATATAGAACATCCAATTTCGATGAGGTGTCCTGTGCATTTTATAGGCACAATCTAGAACGGAGTGGATATTTGCACTTTGTTTTTTAAACAAGTTATATCTGATAAAGAAAAATAAGCTTTTGAAACAGCTTTCTCTTTGATCAATTGATGTAGGCTTGAGCCCAACATAACAGATTTGGTTATTGTTATGAAAAAAATCAATCTTATTCAGTGGACGTTTGTCTAAAAAGTTTTCTTTCACCGCTATGGTAAGTAATATGAAACAATTCACTCCTGTATTCCTAACAACGGGAAACGAGCGGAAAGAACTGTCTCTATTTAGCGTGTATGTTAGTATCTCAGTCATATTTTCAATGGTTATAGGCTACTAAATCCATCATTTATATCATTCACTCTTTAACTGTGTACTTTTCTTTATTGCTTAGCTTTTCTCTTTTGAGTCAGGCGCTCGGTTTTCCTTGTCGTTCATCGCAGGGGATTAGGATACAGATAGTTCGAGTGTCGAACAGCTGTAGACGAGATGAACGATCTGACGTTATTTTTTTAAATGTGCCTTAATTAACTTACGTGACTTCCCTAAAACTAACATATTTTAGTATTATAGACCTTAATCGTTATTTGTTTATGAGATAATTAATTTTAATATAGTATTTAGCAACGTAAAGTACAAATGTCTACTCTCCGAATAAATAACTCTAAATAAGCATGTACTCAGTTAATCGATGACTCCATCTGTAAGGTTTCACAGTAGCTTATGCTCGTTGTAAAAGGTGACTATCGGATGAATAACTTCCCAGGTTTCGTAAGTGACCTTATTTTCTCCGATTGCTGTTTTTTATCTGATGGTAATAATATTGGATGAGTCATCTTTTAGACGTTCCTCTGTAATCTTGATTTAATTTAAAGTATACAGGTAAAAACTGAAATAAACTGAAATTACTTTGCTCAGTCACATTTTATTGACTATTTTTCTTAACCTTTCTTTCTTTGCTTCTTTCGTTCTATTAATATATAACTGCTAAAGTTCACTATACAATAGTTGGAAATATTAGTAGATGTCGCTCTATATAACTGTAGGGAATAAGTTGAGAAGTGTTACTCTCTGGTAACCTTCAAATCCAGAAATCTCCCTTGACTAAGAATAAAAGTGAATTTTATACACATTCCCGGATTCGAGAAAAAGATGAATACTTCCGCACAGGTTCGCCCATTTTATACACAACCTAAAGCTGGGAAGGTTTGCTATATAATCAATAGTACTACTAAAAGTATGTAAAGTCTCCCGGTCGCCCCTACACTATAAAAGATATTTCGAACACGGTTTTTTCTCGACCATAAGTTGTGAATTGAAGTGTTTCTAGGTACGCCAGAACAGCGAAATCCGATCTTACCTAATACTTTCAAGCGTTCTCAGATTGCTACCTGGAAAGAGCATACAAAATTGCATATTTCTATCCGTAAATAAGATTTTTTCCTTTGTCCTTTCGAAAAATTTTTCGATTGGAGAGCATTATATGCATTAGCAAATATAACTTGTTTTTAGCATGTTTAACGAGCTCAAAACCTAATAAAGCATAATTTTATTTATAATCAAACGAAAACTACTTCCAAGGTTGTTCGAATGTCGCAAAAATAAAGTCTCTAGCACTTTTTACTTCTTCAAGTAAACTTAGCCATGATAGAATCCAAATCCTATCATCTGGCTAGTTTTAGGAACGGAAAAAAATACTAAATTATCGATGAATTTACATGCTGAAAAGGAATTTCAGACTAGTTTGTATATATGAGCAAGTTAGGATTTTTATCGGATTTCTGGGAAACCGCCACAAGAAAAATCACCTGGTCAAAGCCAAGACCTGACGGCTTTTGTAGCACTAGTCGAGCAGTGTGTGGGATAACAATATCTTGAAAACTTGACGTGTAGTTTTCGAGGGATTAGATCTGAGAGAGTGGAAGTGGGTCTCATGGCTAAGCTTACCATGAGAAAGTAAAAAATGCTAGAGACCTCATTCTTGCGACATTCGGACAAGCTTGGATGTCGCTTTCATTCGACTATATATTTTGTAGGGTTTCTTTTTTTTGGGGTTCGCTGTGACTGTCGCAAAAGTACAGATTTGGTCTAAAGCAATGGGTCCCCAAAATGAAAACTATTTTATATGTTGAAGATAAAACTGGATTTCAGGGAAACAAATACGCAACTTTCGATGCTCTGTCGAGCCATGAGGAGCAGGGCGTATTAGGCTCTCTCGTGGTCTCAGAATATTCAGTTAGAAAAACCTGTAAAACGCTAAAATTCGCAACTTATTGTCGTGGAAAACTCGCGTTCGGAATAACTTTTCCAGGGATCGACTGTGGGATTTTACATACTTTTAGTAGCTGTACGGAACGAATATAGTCAAACTGAATCCGACTAAACGAATCAAATCCAGTTTCCCTTTCGATATGATATTATGATATTTATGACTTCTTTACTCTGTCACACTCAATCTCTTGCACTCCTTCGAACACCCTAAGTTTCTGAGTACCCCACGTCCTTTCCTCTTTCCATTCTTGTAGATTTTTGCTTAGTTCGATTTGACGACCCAGGGCGAGCATTCGTATATCAAGATTTCCTATGCTCTTATAAGATCTTATTCGAAGAAACCATAAGATTTCAAAGGATCTTGTAAGATCTTTTAACTTCTTATAAGACCTTGTAAGATTTTGTATGATATCTTTGTAAAAGAATCTTATAAGATCATAACATATGAAGCTGTACGATCTCATAAGATTGTATAAGATACCATATAATCTTGCAAGAAGTGACAAGATCTCATAAGATCACGTAAGAATTCATTAGATCTTATAAGATGATGTGCCTGCATGATCATGTTCTATAAATTTTCTCTAGATCTCCCAGTTCAAAAAATCAAATCAAGATCTTACACGATCTTATAAAATCTTACGGAAAATCATAGAAACAGATTCATCTTATAAAAATCATACAAGAATCTTACGAAATATGATGAAATCTTACTATAAGATCTTAAATCAAGAATCAGTTTCTATGTTTCTGACAGAATCTTACAAATTCTCATACGAATTTTACGAAATCGGATAGAATCGTACAAGAATCTGGTAAGATCTTACAGTAAGATGCTTTGACCTGGGCCTCTTAAAAAAGTATCTTTCTCCATTCATAATATTTTCTAGCATACGTAGGACACAAACGTCCTTAGGATCGTGTTTAACCACGCCATGCACTTTATTTGCGCTCAGCTGATGTGTGAAGACGAAGAACATATCACCGACACAAAAAAATTAAAGTTTGTTTAGCGTTAAAGAAAAGTGCTTTTTCGTATTCAGCACACTTGATAACTTGGAACATTTTCTATTTTAAGCGAGGGGTGCCGCCAAAAAGTTAAGAAAATTTTTTAAACAAATTGACGCAAAAAAATCCTCATGGTAAAATTATACAATTTTGAAAATTTTTCTTAACTTTTTGGCAGTACCCCTCGCTAAAAATAGAAAATGTTCCAGGTTATCGAGTGTACTAAATACGAAAAAGCACTTTTTTTGTCGGTGATATGAGAAAGAAATTCTAAGTTTTATCATAACCTCGGTCAAAGCATCTTACTGTAAGATCTTATCAGATTCTTGTACGATAAGATCATGTAAGATCTTGATCTGATTTTCTGACCTGGGAAGAACTATGTTATATATATACTTAATACCATAGCAAAATTTATGTGATAAGAATGAGTAAGTAAGTAAGTTAGTAAGTTAGACCCGTACCGTTACCGGTGTAGGGTGAAAAACAAAATCCAATGCACAAATTAAAAAGAAAACTATAGTGTCTTTGGTAAGTGTTTGTAAGTCGCTGTTGTAAGATAAGCCAAAGTAC